TTTTAACACGCTCAAACGAACGACTTATAGTAAACAAGTAACTCTCAAGTATATATGGGAAATCTCCAAGTGTATTCCTTATTTTGTGTTCTTTTTGAAACTAAGGAAACAAAAAAACTTAGTCATACTAATGGCTTGCGTAACCATCGCCGAATTAGTCGAACGCATGGCGGCGCTGAGTCTACAGAGCTACGACATCACCACTGATTGTGTCCCCGTGCCTCTGGATGAGAACGTCCATAGTGGCAGCTCCCATAAGAATGAGGACATCGAGATTCCGGATTATCCCGATACAATTCGTAACGAAGTCGCGTCACAAGGCGCGTGATAGCTTGTTTTTCTGCAGCTTTTATCCTTTCAAAGTTGAGTATATATCATGAAGGATTACGGCTAACCAAGTGATAGACGCATTGGCTGTAACAACACCCCAGAAGGCTTGGCACAATTCCAAAATTATCAAGTCGAAGCGAAGGCGAATTATACCCCTGCATGCGACACTTGAACTCAGCAGGAATTTTGTGCAACTCGACGCGACACGATTTTTTGCGCAGGCATGGGAGGCGACGTTCATTGCCTGGATGGCGCTGTTGAGCATTACGCAAATAGCGCCTTGCGGCCCGCTTACAGTCCAGGGGCTTGCCGCGGCGGTTCGTGCCCTCGATGGAGTCATTAGCGGCAGGGAAGAGCCATACCTTCCTCCTAGATTTGGATATTTACAGCTATTCCATTTTCTGGAATCACTGAGGAGCAGGATAGAACGTGATAAGAAGCGTGGGTTCATCCAGGCAGAAAGCCACCGCACCAATGCTGCGCTAGCGTATGAGCTCTACCGGAACGCGCAAGGCATTCCCACCACTACCAGCCATTTGCGTCGTCTCAGACTCCTCGGCAGCCGTTGGAAAGACGCTGTTCGCTCCTCACCATTTCTACTGCTTGCTTTCTCCAAAACTGCGGAATCCTTTGCGTAGGCGCATTAAAAACTCAACGCGTTATGTATAGCTAATTCCTCATAGGAAATATCCTTCATTTCGAAAGTTGTTTCTAATGGCTTTAGATGATGTGCCCGATAAATTGAAGAACATTTGCGGCGAGCTTTCCAGCATTGCCGAACGCGCGGCTGCTAGCAATTCGTCATCTAATCACATCATAATGGGTGGACTGAGAGATTGTGTTAAAGAATACCTTATGCGGCCCGGAGGAGATTGATTTCGGGAACTTCCAGCTGGATTTACAATGTGGCTGAAGACGAATGAGGTCGTCAACGTTAGTATTGGGCTTGAAAATGGGGAGAAGTAGGGCAATCCGGGGTCGAGAGTTAGAAGTGTGTATCTATGTACAAATGAAACATGCTTGACCTGTCGAAATTGACGCCAATCTTAAATGCAAACATGAAAAGACAGCGAGAGTAACAGTGAGCAAAATAGCTGGGAACAGCGTGGAAATGCAGCGTGGAAAGGCAGCGTGGAAGTGCAACGTAGAAAGGCAACGTGGATGGAAAGGTGGATAGGCGGCGTGGATGTTAGTCTGCAGGTAAGCACGAGGAGCACAGTCGCCAATCTTCAGGCACTGTGCTAAGAAGAACACAGGGGTCAGTCTTCAGGTAGGCAGAAGACAACGAGGGCGCCTAGGTGTTAAGAATAACACGGGCCCTAGTCTGAAGGAGGGCCAGATGAACACGGGGGCCAGTCTCCAGGAAAACAGCGACGGAAGTGCTAGGTGCCAGGCAGCGTGGAAAGTCAGCGTGGAAAGCACTGGGCAGACTGCAACGATCGCGACAGAGGCAGCCGAAAAACCACGCTATCACAGCAGCCATAGGTGGTGACTGTCATCCGCTAAATGGCTCCATTAGTCGAAGGCCACTACTGACGCTAGCATGGCCTAAGATTACCTAGCAATGCGCTGACCCTCACCGTCATTGTCAGTCTTAATTGCTAAAGTAAACAAATTAATATTAACATTTCACAGAATCTTTGATTCAGCCCGCACTATATATACGTGCAGTACCACCATAGCATGGCTAATGGATTGCCTAGCTCTGGCATTGCAGCATCCGCCACCTATGGACATACCCACTACACTCCTCGCTTCAGGCAGAAGTCTCCGCAACGAAGAGGCTCTCTGCGACGATGAGATTGACTGGGGCGAGGAGCTCCCCGACGAAGAGACTCTCCCCAACGAAGAAACTCCCCCCGACGAGGAGATTGACTGGGACGAGGAGATCCTCGACGAAGAAGCTCTCCCCAACGACGAGACTCTGCCTAACGGGGAGGCTCTCTGCAATGGAGAGGCTCTCACCAACGAAGAGATGTGTTTCCTGAAGCGGACGATATGTGACGAGCCCTGGTTATTGTACCAGACTGATAAAAGTCAGATTCACACTTTCTGGGATAACATAAAAATTGATACATCAATGGCTCGAGATTCATGCCTTGCAGATGCTTATCAGGCAATTCAAGTTTTGGATGAAATTATATCAGACAAGAGCCTAGTCTATTGGAAGCACCGGCTTGCCTACGTACAACTACAAAAACTTTTGGCGTCGCTTGACATGACTATACTCCGCGAAAAACGCAACGGGCATATTGACGGTCGTCGTGGCTACGGTAATAAGACAGTCAAGTACGAGATACTCAGCAAGGCGCTCGAGGGCCGTTCTTCGGCAAAAGCCATACGGCTCCATGTTCGGCGCAGTAGGCGGTGGTCACTTATTATAGGTGGCTCAATGCTCCTGGCAGTCGCTTACTCGGGCAAGGCCGAGACATATGTGTCAGTTTTTTCACACCCATCCAGTGTACTTCAATTAATTAAGAAACAGAAGGAACTTTTCTGTCACAAACGCGGCATTGGAGAATATTTCTAGTCTAGCAGTTCGAGCTATAGGTATAGCCGAAATGACGAATATCCCACTCTGAATGAAACTGTCTGTAACGGTGGCTTATCCTTAATCCACAATAGTTAGGTCGAATGCACAGGAGTGCAAGTGGGCAGTATGGTAGCGTAAGTCACGTTAGAAGATTACTCCCAATAGTAAAGCTATTGCTTAGATTGATTAGTGGAAATCTAGTCTGCCTATCTACCGGAAATCCCCTTCCTTATATCCATCTAATCTCTATTGCTCCGTGATGCTCTGTCTGCTCAATTGTGCTCAGTACCGAGCACACTGATCATGCTGATCTTTCCGAGCAGTCACGTGACGGCGTCCCTCTCTCCCAGTCGGGACGTCTTTCCTGTATCTGCGTCACTGGCCCTGGCCGCTGTCCCCTCCGACCAAGCTTCTGCATTTGTAACACTGTCACGGGTTGTATCCTGAAAGAGACTCGGCCTGACGACCTCTTTTGTCGTGACAGCCAGCGCTAGGGTCAGTGCGCACTAAGATCATTCAGATAGGAACCGCTTGATTTACTGATAGCATTAGAACAATACTATTACATCAAGGTAAACAATTTTAAGAAGAACTAAAAGTCACCCCTTTAAAAATAGTCAAAGTAGTCTCAAGACAAAGGTAGTCAAGTCAAAGTAGTAATGTATCACCAGTCAACGTAGGGACCCCATTTAAATTAACACGAGGCACGCAAGCTTGGGTTGATCTATGAGCACGGCCGCGAGTAACTAGCAGTAACTACCACATGGTTATCTGACTAGTATATAATTGACCACGTGCCCAAGCCTACTGTACAGATTGTACAGAACGTCTCGGCACGCCCGGCACACCCCGCTTCGTGCTGTTATAGTTCAAGCCATCTCCCTTTCGTTTCCTCCCCGCCTTAGAAAGTTTAGACAATCGCTTGTGTTTAGGTTGTGGTAGGACGGTTGCCTGATCGAAATCGATCACCATCACGCGGCATCGCTCAGCGTTCCATAGCAGGTTGGGCTCACGTTCGTCTTGATGGTCCACACCATTCTCATAGATCGTTTGTATGGATCGCTGCACCTCCCATTCCAGATTTGACCGCGTCGTATCCATCTCCACCCCAGCCCACGACATCAACATCATATGGATTATGTACGCACCGCCAGGCAAGAGGTAGCCAGGACGGAACGAGACCATGCCCAGGTGCACAGGCACCACGTCGCCCTGAAGCTTTTCAAGTCGCTGATAGATACTGCACTCGTGCTCCAGGCGCTCCGGACGTGCGGACACGGTGCCCTTGCCGACAAAAGTGTAGCCGAAGCGTGCCAGTTCTAACTTGAACAGCACTCCACTAGAACCATATTTGCGCCGGCCGATGAGGGCATCACAGCTCCCGTAGGGGTCCTGATGCAGCTGCTCGCTCATGAGTTTAGTCAACTCCTGAGCGTCGATCGGGTGGCGTGTGTTGCAGCCAACACCGTGATAGAGCACATTAGGGCACCTGCTATCTAGTTCACGACCCAGCTTGAGGCCAAGAAGGCAGGCTTGTGTGCAGTATTGTTTCGTGGGCGCTGGAGCAGAGCCTTCGGGGCCTTTGTCTTTGCTCTTCCTGCTGTCCCTCTCTCCCTTGTTGACGCTGGCTCCTGCCCCGCGCTGGCGTTGATAGCCCTCTGCTCCGCCTTCTTCGTCCTCATCGCGCGACTGGAGAGGCGCCGTAGAATCCTTGCACGATGACTTCCGCAAAGGGTATTTTCGAGCCACCGGGGATGCATCACAAGCAAAGGATTTATCTGTGCCGCGCGAGGGCATAGATGAAGATGAATCTGTGTCATCTGACTCCTGCGGAGTAACCGGGTCCGTGTAAGCTTCCCTTTTCCATTTTTTCAACATGCCCTCGGCCTGGTCCATTGCCTCCTTGAGCGGACGGCCCTTAAGCGCCTGAGAGCGAAGGCTCAACAGACAAAAGCTGGCAAGCTGAGCAACCGCAGTCTGAGACACTTGTTCGACATGAAGCTCAGCTGTTGGTCGAATTACCATTTTGTCTGGCACGCAAAGGTGCCAGCGCAAAACAAGTGGCTCTGCTCGGTCGTAATAAAGAAGCACCAAAGATTTTCCAGCGGCGACATAGCCATACCCCACCCCATACCACAACATATAATTAAAGACTTGTATCAGTGCCATGGCAATCCGCGCTGCTTCTCGCTCTTTCGTTCGAAGCGTCGAGTCTGTTCTGTACTGGTCGGTCTGCGCCCACTCGTAGACATCCATGAACAGCGTCTCTTTTTCAAGAGCGGCCTCGAGATCCTCCACGGCAAATTTGTGCGCAGCCTTGTAATCATACATGAAAGCTGGGCTCTCGTTTTCGTCTATGCCTGTTCGGATGCCACCTCCGTCAGGTTGCTGCTTTCCCCTCCCCGTTTTTGTTTCAGCTCCAATATCTTCGTTGAGGTCCTTAAAGTTGCGACTGCCATTTATAAACGTGAGATCTGTGATTTGGTACTTCTGGCGCAGCTCCCTGTTAGCCCAAACGGGCTCCAGAATCATCCACGTAGGGTCTTCGACTGCTGTTTTTTCGAAATGGTCGATAGCATTCTCATAACCGGCTTTTTTCCGCTCGAAATTGATTCCGTTATCTCTTGTTGTGCTCTCTTGTTGAAAAAGTCGCTTCTCGCCGCAGATGCGGATGATATCGTCGAAGTGTTCTTGTCGCTCGTTGTCGGTAAAGGCTTGCCAAGGGCGAAGCCACCTGGGATAGTATTTACCGTCGACCGATGTCGCCAAGCCAGTAGAGCTCTCCGATGGGCCAGCGAGCCTGAGTTTTTGGTACAGGTCGAAGTGACAGTTGTACAAGTACTCCGCCAACGTTGTCCTTTGAGTTTTGCGTCGCTCGTTCTCCTCACGCGCCTTTGCTTCTTCCTCTCGCGCCTTTGCTTCTTCCTCTCGCGCCTTTGCTTCTTCCTCTCGCGCCTTTGCTTCTTCCTCTCGCGCCTTTGCTTCTTCCTCTCGCGCCTTTGCTTCTTCCTCTCGCGCCTTTGCTTCTTCCTCTCGCGCCTTTGCTTCTTCCTCTCGCGCCTTTGCTTCTTCCTCTCGCGCCTTTGCTTCTTCCTCTCGCGCCCTAGCTTCCTTAAGTTGTCTTCTTAGGTCTTCGACTTCTTTTTCGGCCATCGTTGAGGCAACCGTTTTGTGTTGTTGCACCAGTCTGCCTCTTATACGCTTCCGCACGTAGCTCGGCTTGTTGCCCTAGCTTTTCCAGCGGTTCTTTTTAGCCAACCATGAATTAGGAACACGATTGGCAAGAACGCTAATGAAACTAACGCGGGCGTTTCTCAGTGTCGAAGATGTGTTTGGAAGTATCGCCTCTGTAACCCACAGGCCAGTCGCGTGTTGCCAGCAATAAACGCTTAGTCATGTCATGTGACGGGCGGACACAAAGTAACTTAACGTTCGAGTTTGGCAGAAGCCCCGCCTATTAAATTGTGGGTATTTGCGTTGACAAACAATCGTAGCCTTAATGCCCAATTAGTTTCCTCTCCTCTTGTGCATTTTTCGCAGTATGAACGTAAATACTAGTAGGACTGCTCTCCCTCTTTCGCTCTGCTGTCATTTCTGAGCTGCCGCTGGATGGCATCCACTTTCTATTGTTGGATGAAAAACGATGAGCTTTGCGACTGTATATTCGCAGGGCGAAGTGTTGGTTGAAGTAGGAAAGACAATGGGCCTGAGGATACATATCGATTTGTTTCTTTGGCTTGTATTTGGCATGTTCCCGTGTCACGGGTAGGTTTTCACATTGTAAGCTACCATGCAGCTGTAGGTTGAGCACTCTCACAACATTTCAGGCTTGGTCTTCCATATTTTTTTCAGAATAACAATGTTGACTATCAATAAAATAGCATCTAGCATTATTCGACTAAATATAAAAGCTTTGAAACTTGGTATCGGAATTCTTTCACGCGTGGAATATCCCAGCCTTTCCCAATCCTGACTGCCATTTCTGCCATCCCCGAGACATGAATGCACGTATGCAAGAGGTTCTTCGAAATCATTTTGTAGAATTCATTGGCAAAATCCTTTGGAGGACACGGAGTGAAAGGTTTTGTGTTGTCTCTCTTGCTGCAAAATATATTAGCTCGAATGTATCGGTACTGTAGAAGGCAGCACTTACACGAAATCGTCGGCGGCATCAGAAAAAGCGAGCAATAAGAGACTCGATTGACTGTCAAGTTCCTTCCAACGGTGGCCTATCTCTAGTTTATGGGACAAATCGCACTGACCATTGATCTTGCCCTTAAGGCCTGAAAGAGCGAGGTATTGGTCGAACGCAATGGCGGCTGCGGACTTTTTTCTACGTTCTTCCCGGTTGTCTTTTTGGAGTTGGATATGGGTTTCCAGGGCATCTAGAAAGTTTACCAGTTGCAAATAGCCAAATTTTGCCGGTAGAAGCTCTTGGCCAGC